CTATAAATTTCTATGTTCATATATGAAAAGTATACTTTTTTGTATACAGTGTGACCCATTTGTTTGCGATCGAGTCGACTCACTCCTGTAAAATCTGGTACTATTACTATAAGTTTAATTTTATTTCAATATTTTTTACATGGATAACTTGACAGAATAAATTTATTATTATGTGCATTTTTCTACTTAAAATTTTTCAATAAAATTTATTAAAGGGCCGTTTTAAGGGGTGGTGAATCCAGTGCCGTGCTTAGAAAATCGCTAATATGAATTCTTAAAAATTTACTCTTGAAAACTAACATAGTAAGCCTAAAAATACAGTTTATCAAGATCTACACTTTAAAACAAATCCGATTAAAATAAATAAAGATTTTACAGGGATGTCGCAAACAAATGGGTCACACTGTATAAATATTTATTAAAATTAAACGAATAATATAATAAATAAAAAAACACCAAGTTTATATTTTTTGCATGTTTTTACCTTTACATAATAATATATTGTGCCACTAGTGGGAAAAATATTCCTCGAGCGTGAGGTTAACAGGCGAGTGGAATCTCATCTTTGGACCAATAGTCGCACACAATATTTTAAACAACTAACACAAGGAATTTATTTTATTTTATTTGATATTTTATCTTAAATCTGACAGCTTTCAAGCTACTTTAACCCCACTTTTTTCGAATTTTAACTTAAAGCTAACTTCAGCCCGTGGGCGAAATACCATTTCGCCCACTAGTGCCAGAAGTAAAATTTCGCTTACCGGTTTAAGTTAAGAAATTAAATGGGTGTTGAATAAAATATATATTTTACTCCTATTGCTTGTTATTGATATTATTTGGGGTTTTCCGTATATAATGGTAACCATTATAACCGCCCCGCCTAACAACGCGAATAATATTTACAGGGATTTGAACCAATCGGGTTTTAAATTGTGAAGAGGTTGGAACTTTTTAACAGTGTCAGATTTTCTATACGAGATGATTATAATAATCATTAAAATCGGAAAAATGGAAGTTATTAAAATAGTTGTGTTATTAAAATAGTTGTTTAAGATATATGAGGAACCCTGTATAAGCAAATGTTACATTGTAAAACCCATTCAAATAAAAACAAACAAATCTCGACTTCTTGGTGTTAGGTCGCTATGTTATTTATTGTTTTATTATCTATGGGATTAAGATTTTTAAGTAGCCGCTCAATCGGTATTATTGATTTTCCTGTCAAAAGTGACACGTCAAGAAAGGTAAATAAAAATCTACGTCTTGATCTACGTATGCAAATGTCTAGATAAGGCCCTCGGTCCGGCTCCCGCGGTGTGAAGATGTGATTCCACACGGTCCCAATTTGTAACTCCATCGAACACAGTAGTGCCAACATGAAAAAATACGGAATCACAATCTCATCAAAAAATTAAATGAAATCAAAACATATATTTTCGGTTTTTATTGATTCTGATAAAATTCATAATAAAACTTTACAGAAAAAAAATACACTTTTTATTTAAAAAAAATTACCAATAAATTTAAAAACCCTATTTATTATATTCTAAAATTAATATTATTAATATTATAATTATAATTAGAAATAAAGTTACCTACTCTATTAACTATTATTAATAATTAAACAGCTCTTTTCAAAAAAATATTTCTCCATACAACTTCTTTTATATTAATTCAAATATTACTTTTTGATGTAAACTGTGCATAACATTTTATACGTTGCTGAAAATATGTTTGCTATATTTATCTACTCCTACATTGACGAGCTGTGACTTTATGGCGTTTTAGTCACGGGCTAAAGTTAACAATAGTGGCTTTTGGGCATTTAGTCACTGTCTGAAGTTAGCTTTATTATAAATTATGCAAACGTGAGGTAACATCCATTTAAAGTTAACAAATGTCAAATGTTTAACAAATAAAATTGGTATTAAATTATTTTTCCTACTCCCACCTTTAAAACGCCCATTATCGTCCATGTTTCCATGACACTAAGTGACCTTTTAAATACACATTGATAAGTTGTGGCTTTATGGCGTTTTAGTCACGGGCTGAAGTTAGCAACAGGTTTTTAGTAACGGGCTAAAGTTAGTTTTAAGTTGGTTGACAGTTGTCAAATGCCTACAATCGTTAAAATAAAGTGATTTTCTTGTAAAATAATATTAAATGTGAAAATTATTTTATTATCTCAATACAAAAATACAAAAGTATTAAATAGTTTCTCAACGCCAATATTTGAAAAGTTTATATTAACATTGTACTGACCTTTTAATTTCGCCGGTAGTAAACTATAACTTAAATTCGGGCACGGAATCCACTGTAAATTGCTCATAAAACATTTTCTTTAATTTCACGGTGAAAAACTGTCCATTTTCAAGGAATACATTTCGATTTATAACCTTTATAATCTGTGTTTATAAAATATAAAATTTGACATTTGATGGTGACACGCAGATTCCCCTATTGTTTCATAGATGGCGCTCTACACAAATATTTGATTTAAAACATAATCTTATAACGTAGAAAAAGTATAGTATGCACCTCGTTTATAAACTTTTCTATACACTTATTAATTTAAGCACTCGCTCGCAAGCTCGCTCGTGCCTAACTTAAATTCGTGTATAAAATGCCATTTATCAAACTCGATACATAATATACTATTTTGTGTTCGTCGTAGATAAAGAATAATATGCAACTTGTTTTAAAAACTTCTCTAGACACTCGTTTTTATTAAACACTCGCTCGCCAGCTTTGCTCGTGCCTAATAAAACTCGTAACTAAAATGGCGTTTATAAAACATGATACATAATATACTATTACCTACTCCTATAATAACGACCTGTGACTTTATGGCGTTTTAGTCACGGGCTGAAGCTTTATTATAAATTGGAAAAAATTGAGGTTAAATCCTGGTGACAGGTGTCAGATTTAAAATTTTAAATAGAATTGAGTTCGTCGTAAATAAAGTGTAGTATGCAACTTGTATATAAAATCTGTAGACACTCTTTTTATTAAACACTAAAATTGCGTTTATAAAACCTGGTACATAATATACCATTAAAAAACTATTATGTATTACTTAGCTATATTTTTTATGAAGACATTATTTTATTAATGAGTTGGAATCTTCATTTAAAGAGTTTGATAAATAAATAACAGTAGGCAGTGACAGCAAATTCAGCGGTGCCAATGTAGTAAAAATTTTATTTTAAAAATTCGTTTCCAAACCCGAGAAAATTTATTATTGTATTAATATTATTATTATTGTGGCGGATAAAAACAAATGTAATTTTAAAAATTAATTTCTTGTATACAGATTAATTTTAAAAAATAATTTTTTGTATACAGATTATAATCTTAACTGTAAAAATTAAAATATTTGCTGTAAAAATTATAATTTTTGCTGTAAAAAAATAAAAAAATATTGTGAATGCTTCTGATGCCTCACAAAATCATATATTAAATTTTGAAAGTATTCTATGCAAACTTTTTAAATGGGGATATTACCTATATTAATAAATTTTAACTCTTTATTTTTGTTTAAAAAATTGTTTTCTATCCTTTTTTACAGGGTATTTCAGATTTTTGTCCCATAACTATTATATATAAAAATATAGTCAAACGCTTAGTTTTCAAGATCCAGCGTGTTCAAATTTATAAATTTAAACACTGTATCTCGAAAACTAGGCGGTTGACAACATACGCTATATTAATTCAGCAAAAGTTAAACTTTAAAACATAATAATTAATCATTACAAAAAAGTTTAAACAATATTTTAAAATAAATTTTATAACATGTAGTTTTTACTCACAATTTTTAATTGTGACGGGCGGGACACTAGTGGCTACAGTACCTACAACTGTGGTATACCGTTAGTGAGTTATTTTCGGGACACCCTGTATATTGATAATCTAACATTTTCTATTTTATTTTGTAATTTTTGTAAATTTTATGTTACTGTGCATTTCGAACTAATCCGATTATAAACCTTAGTAGGTATATACAAAGCTCACACACAAGCACACTCCCTGAATAAGTAGATATATCTCGTTGTGTATCTTTTTAATTCACTTTATTTAATCGTTTTATGCTTTTCTTAAGTCCAACGTTTTAAAAATCGTTTGTTGACAACGACGAGAATGCGTAAGCCGGCTCGCTCGTTTCTCTTACCTACGCACCACTTTTTAAAAAACACACCAGTCAAATAATTTATGATGCTATGAGCAAACATAAAGCAAAATTGTATCATTTTTTATGTTAATAGTTACGAAAAGTAACTTTTTGTGGACAATAAATATGCATAAATTTATCATAAATAAATTAAAATATCCCAAAACTCGTGCATTGTATTATTTTAAATACAACATTTCTATTCCATTAAATACATACATTTCAAAAAAGTACAATAAAAATTAAATCATAGTTAAACCCAGGGGCGTAGGAGAGGAGGGAATGGGGGGTGTCACACCCAGAAACTGCTTTTAATTTCGATTTTTATACATTTTATGGAAAAGTTTTCAAAATTGTTTTTTAAGTTTTCACGACTTGCATTCAAGATAATTTGCAAACATCGTTGTCAATCCTATAGAATCCGATAGAAATTATTAGGTTCATTCCAACCAGCAGTAATATTACCGAAATAATATCGTCCGTAACAGCGTTAATGCGACTGCGCGAACAAAACCAGTAAAATTATTTTGAATTATAAACTGGTTGGAACCTTTTTTGAACTAGTATACTTAGTATACTAGTTCAAAAAAGGTTCCATATATGCGATTTACTTAGGTTTTAGCAAAATACACACAATTGTGGGTTTTAGGTTATATTCTTTTTCTTCTGATTGTGAGTACTATAGTACTAGTATACTAGTATACTATACTAGTATACTAGTACTATAGTACTCACAATCAGAAGAAAAAGAATATAACCTAAAACCCACAATTGTGTGTATTTTGCTAAAACCTAAGTAAATCGCATATAGTTTATAAAGATAATAAATATGGCAGGTTTTTTAAATAATTACTTGGATGATTCTTCGGATGACGAAGATTTAGATTTTATGGGGGACATTGCTACTAGAAATAAATATTACCTAGGTTGGTTGAGTTTATACACTGCCCGTCAAAATTAATGCATAATAAGTAAAAAAATTCTAACTCTAAAACGCCTTTACCAATCTCGAAATTTTGTATAAAAGTACTTCAACTTATACCTATCTCAGTATACGTGTTCGAGGGTTTTTAAAAAAATATTTTTAAAGCCATTTAATTAAATAATAAAAAAACTTTCTAAAAATAACTTTTAGAGATTTTTTTTAAGTAAATTAAAAATATGGTGTCAAAAAATTTTGTACAAATCAAACCAACAGTAACAAAGATACAGCGCTTCAAAGTCGGTAAGAATTACCCCTTTTTGATTATTTTGCTGAAAAATGGTTATGTGACACCTTACTACGCATGCGTCTAATTTTATTATCAACAGTTCTTGCTCTCGAGCAAGAATCTTTTGAACCGTAATTTTACTGTTCGTAACTCTGGTTGGAACGACGAACTGACAGTAATCGCCAGTTCTAAACTAGTAATTTAAGTTGGTTGGAACGACATTTTACAAACGCGCATGTGTATCAGTAATATTACTGGAAATTACTGCTGGTTGGAATGAACCTAATATTACGACTATTTTTAATTATTTTGCATGAAACTATTTTCCAAAAAGAAAAATCAAATAAAAAACTTGTAAATAACACCATAAAATCGTAAACAAAAATCCAATATGGAGGCTAAAATTTAATCGCTGTTAAAAAGTTCTAGTGATTTAATCGCTTATTTAAACGAAATTTATTTGAAAATTCAAGGCTTTTGATTGGTTCATATTATAATGAGGAAAATAATCATATAAAAAACGCACATTTAAAGATATTTCTCAAGTGGCATTCAAGTTAAAAAAACTTTATACCACTACCATACAAAGTCGTTTGTTATAGTTTAACATCAGCGTCTTATGAACCTATAAAAAATTTCTGCAGTCGGGAACATCTTTAAAAAAAGTAGGCATTTTAAAATATCTCCCCGCCCCCGGGGGGGATTATGGCCATAATTGGAACCTTCGCTACGTCCCTGGTTAAACCTTATAAAATGAATTTTCAAAATTAAAAGTTGAGGAATTTTATTTCAAATTTATTTAAGTTTTGTAGGTAACCCTTTTAAAATATATATTTGTAAAAAAAACAAACATAAAGGAGATGTCAATGTCCCATTGAAAGTAAGGACCGTTCTTCAGCGGTGAAGAGCAGAACGTCCAAAGGATGCTGAAGAACAATGATGATGTAAAAAAATAAAGGCGATAGGCGAGCGCTAGGAGTGCGTGAAGTGAAGATATTACATTAACCTGACGGCAGGGGCTACGGGCTGAGGTTACGGTGTTAATTAACTAATTTATAACAACGGCGTGTCGATGCATTTCACATAATGCTCACTTATCAGCACATGTGCTGATAAGTGAGCCCCCATTATTTCCGCATGTAAAACAAAATTTTATGTATTTTTTTTATGATTTCAATCTACGTACCTAACTCAAATGATAAAATTGATTTTGAAATATTAATGTTAAAAACATAAGCCAGACTGGTACCTTTAACATTATATACCCTTATTATTAGGGGAGGAGCAAGCAGAGCCCCTTCCCAAATAGCAAGAATGGGAGGAGCACAATTTTATTAAAATTAAAATTTTACTTAAATGATTTAAATTATTAGAAAGCCCTAAAATTTAAATATTTTGTTAGAATATACCCATGTGTTATACAAGGTGTCCCTAAACTTATTGGCATAAATTTAGGAAAAGATTGAGCAAGTCAAAATAAGACGAAAACCTAAATACATATTTTTCCTAATTACTTATGTTTCCAAAATACAGGGTGATAAAGTGTTACTTATCATATTAGTTTTCACTTACTTAGTACCAAAATACATATTCACACAAAAGTAATTACAATTGTTTGAATGAACACAGTGCCGTGGAAACGGCATATCATGATAACAAATTTTATTTTTTAGTTGAAAAAACTAAAAAGGGCGTTCCATGAGCCTCGGGACTTTTTGCCCTGACCGTCACATTAAACAAAATTGTAGATTTATCAATTAAAAAATTTGTTATCATATACCTTATAGTCGACTAGGATCCTTTAATGCGATATAGCAATTATTGTAATCTCGAATATCTCGAAAACGGTTTATTTTATGGAAGTTTGAGAGGTACACCTTTTTAATAGTGGCCGAACTGAGTAATCGAAAAATTGAATCAAATGGTATAAAAACCAAACCTCAAAGTTTGTATGGGACAATAAGCTTAAGCAACCCCTGTTTCTACGACACTGCGTTCACTCGAACAATTGTAATTTTGTGTGAATATGTGTTTTGGTAGTAAGTGACTGTTCGCAAAATATCACCTTTCCAAGTTTACCATAGTAGGTTATATTGAAAAAACTGATATGATAAGTAACACTTTATCACCCTGTATCTTTTAAGCATACAAAGGAAAAATATTTATTTAGATTTTCGTCTTATTTTGACTTGCTTAATTTGTTCCTAAATTTATGCCACAAAGTTTAGGGACACCTTCTATAATATAATATATTGTACAGTAGCCTACTGTCAGTAGGGTGTTATAAAAATTTTTTACCAGGTTGATAATTTGATTTTATTATTCAATCTGGGTTTTTTTTGTAAATCGAATTTTTTACCAAAAATTATAATTTTTGGTAAAAAATTCGATTTACAAAAAAAACCCAGATTGAATAATAAAATCAAATTAATAAATAAAAATTATCCATTTCTTTTAATCTTGCAGAAGGACCCATATTTTTAAAAATTAATTTAAAAAATATAATTTTCCTTCATCAATCAAGTCTCTAACACATTTAATTTTGAAGAAATTTAAAGAATTTTGTTAATAAATCTATAAAAAATATGTACATTGAATGTACTACATTCTTTAAATACTTTAATCTCATTAAGAAACCCAAATACTAATACATTAGTTTTTTTATTGAATGTAGACCAGCTATGTTGGTGTTCCAATAACATTTTTCCCAATCGTTTAGCTTGTTGATTTTCTCTCCATTAAAAAAGTAACCTCTTTCATCTCTAGCCATAAGTTATGGAGGCAATCCATATAAAAACAAATAGTTATCCTGTGTGATTCGGGCATAAAAGGCTTCTGATGGTTCGCGTCAAATTGAGAAATGTCTGTTTTGACCTGAACCCGAACGAGAAAAGGTTCGATCTTCTGAATAATGAACTCTATAAGTCACTTCTCGGTGAATGACAGGTGTGTTGTGTATTGGATTCCATCGTACACGCATAATAATAATAAGTGTTTTTTGATAAATGATGCTAAAGACAGGCCAAAATGACCCAACGGCATTCCTAAAAGATCGCTTTGCTTATAATGACAGACATCTATTTACTTAACCAATTATTCCTTCCCAATTTATTGTTATGATGTGATAGGACAGATTGGGATTATAAATTGTTTTTGGTCTTTTACATCTTTGTTAATTTGAATCCTTTTTAAGTATTTAATAAAACAGTATGTCATGCAAAGCTTTGTTGGGTAGCGTAAATTCCAAAACCTTAAAATCTTCGTCATGAATCCAGTCTGGATACTTTTACCCATAACAGTATCGACATCTCCTTGCTCAATATTCGAATAGAACAACCATTTTAATCAAAACTTTGTTTCCCAAATCGTATGAAATAAAAATCCATTCCAACTAATTTACAAAAATGGCGAATGCGCCGGGATAGTCGCTGAACTTAAATATCTTAATTTTTAGCCGATCTAAGTGTTTTTTGATGTTGGTTTCAGACTGAATACAGGATATGCTCGGCCTGCAACGAACCCATAAGCGATAAATTCCTGCTCGAGGTGTCTGGCAGGAGTTGGCACGCTCGATGTTTAAGATGTTGCATCTGCCAACTGCAACTGGACAGACAACCTTCCTGCTTTATACGCGACAGAGCCATCTACTGCAAATCGGACTATGCTAAGTAAGTACGGTAATTTATTTTAAAATATATATAAAAGATTATATCAATATTGGTGTGATTCTACAAAAATTGGGCAACTTTTGACCTCAGATAATATTTCAAACAGTTTCTGAAATATCTGTGTTTTCTAAATTTAAATGCGAGGGAAGTGACTAGTATACCATTGTGCTAATTCAATACATAATTTATTGGAAAATATAAGATTTATTGCAACTTTGAGCTTATTATACATAAAATATCTTAAAATCAAATAATACCACACATCAAGGGCAGCTAGTGGATTTTGGGTATACCGATATCTCAATTATTAGATATGGGACCCACACCAAATTTATATGAGTTTATAATGACATTAAATAAACAAGTTCTGCGCAAGCAAAATTTAAATTGAAATTTGCGAAAAAAAGATAACCGAAACATCGAACATGGAACTGATGAATGGGATATAAATTTGAGATTATAATTCGGAATTAAGTATTTTACTGATATTTTTTATTAGTGGATGCTACTTATTAACAAATCACATATAGCCTTATATAAATTATAATGAAATATATGTGCATTGAATGCACGTATAGTTCCAGTCAAAATTTCAGTACTGCATCTAGGTAATTTTTTACCAACACTTGAGTTAAAACGAGGACTTGACGTTTAAACTTCAATATTTCGCAGGAATTTTGAATTTTAACATTGTGTAAAAGTGAGTACAAGGATTATCAATTTTTAAAAAATTGCTAATATTCGAATCTATGATAAAATATGAAAAATACATTATTTATGTTTTATAGTTTGTAGTGAAATTAAAAAAATTAAGATAAATTGAATATATTTTAAAATAAAATCACTCAAATATTTGATTCAGGAGTTGACACGCCAAGGTACTGATGTTCTGAATATTTATTATGTTTTTCTACAAACGTGCTTTTGAAAAAATACATTAAAATTGGGTGGACAAGTTAAAGAAACCTGGATCTTTTGTAATATACTAAAATATTTAGAATAAATATTAAAATACCTACTCTATTGACTGAATTTTTGTAGAATCACCCATGGATAAAAAAAAATATTTTTTTTTAAATTGGTTATAGATATTCTTAAAGTTTTTAGTGTTTTGGAGTTTTGAAAAGAAGTAGAATAGAAATTGTGCAAATGAGCCTACGGTTTTTGACGTTAAAAAGAAAATTAAAACTAAGTACTTAGTTCAATACGTATTAAAAAATAATTTACACGTTTCACGTTTAAAATTGTTTTGAGAAAATAACCTCAATATCGTGCTATTCGCCATTGTTGCTAATTTAAATCTTCAAAATTCATTAAAATAAATTAAAGAAGACATTATTATGAAATGTTTTTGGTATTAATCTTGATCCCGTACCAATTTCAACTCAATTGACTCAGTGACGGCGATTTTATAAGGGTTTAAATGATTTAAATCTTGTTAAAAATTAATTATTTTTAAAATTAAATTGCAAAGTTTTATCACAAGTTTGATATATTAATTTTCTTAATCATGTACAAATTTTAACGTTATTAGATCAGTAGCGGCGATTTTTTACTGGTTTAACCATAAAAATCTTGTAATAGTATATTATAGATATATTATTTTGTAATGTATCTTTATAAAATTTGGACACAAGTTTTGTTTATTAATTCTGTAAAAAATACTATATTATGTATTAAGTTTGATAAACGTCATTTTAGTCAAGAATTTAATATAAATGAGTGGGTAGAAAAGTTTATAAACGAGTTGCATACAATTCTTTTTTTACGACAAAATTTAATACTTACTCTTAATATTATCTAAAAAATGATTTAAATTAAATATTTATAAAGCGACATCTATACGAAAATAAAGTAACCATCCCAATAAACATTTTTGACGTAATTTTCACCATTAACATTGCCTTTTATTATTTTAATTAAACTTAACAATTGACGCGTTTCTCGGAAAAACATCATTAGTCCAAAATTAACATATTTGGGAAAATGAAAAAACTCTCCGACATTCCCATTTTTGACCAAAGTACTTTATTGACCTATTTATTACATGTAAAAAAATGTAAGATACTTTGTCCAGAATTCCTCATATTTTTATTTTCAAACGAATATGAAAAAAACACAAAAAATACATGAACATGTGAGGTTTTTAGAAGAAAAAAACAAACAATTCTCCTTACTACAAACACTACAAACTAAATACTAACTCTGAGTAACAAAATAAATGAAATAACTAAAAACTGTATTACTGCCCCACTCAGTCTTCGCATCCACTGCTGTTATTATCGTTGTCGACCGTGTTATCAGGACTGTCAGGTGCTATGGTCTTCTGCTCTTTTATCAAGTTATCATAAAATTTTCTATTGCTGTGGTAATGTAAAAGAGGTAGAAGCTTTTCTAGAGTGTCCAAAAACGTCACATGTTGTGTACATGTGACTTTCTTAGACGAAACGGAGTGGACTTGTGATGTTTTTAGAAGAACAAGCTAAATTTCATATTTAATTATTATGGAACCTATGACATTTTTACGAGAAACACTTAATTGTATACGTATATATGGAGGTTAGGAAACAGTTGGTGCTAATATCTAAATTTCGACGATATTGGACTAATGATGTTTTTCCGAGAAACGCCTCAATTATTGATACTTTAAAATATTAAAATAACTTTAAAATATGATTATGTTAAGAAAATATGTTATCCTTTGATTTTGCTTATTACTATTATCACAAAATAGTAACAATTCTTACACGGGAAATGTTAAAGGTGCAAAAAACTTGGGAATCTACCGGCGTTAAAATCTAAAATTTTCAGTGTAAATAAAAATTTATCCCTTGAAACTAGACTAACAATCGATATAGAAGCAGTTTTTTACAGAGAAGATAATGTTTTATTTTACGCAAATTTTTAAAGCTTTATCAGTTGAATCTAGTTAACTGCACTACTACGGCGAAATCAAAAGTACCAACGTTCATATAATCTTGTCAAATATTGGCGTTAAGAAACTATTTAATTGAGATAATAAAATAATTTATCTGCTCTTACTTTGACTAGCTGTGACTTTATGGCGTTTTAGTCACGGGCTGAAGTTAGCAATAGTGGCTTTTGGGCATTTTAGTCACGGGCTGAAGTTAGCTTTATTATAAATTAGAGAAAAATGAGGTTAATTCCGTTGACATTTGACAGGTTTCAAATGTTTAACAAATAAAATTGGATTTAAATTCTTTTTTGTGGTCGTCGTAGATAAAGTATAGTATGCAACTCGTTTTATAAACTTATCTAGACACTTGTTTTTATTAAACACTCGCTTGCAAGCTTCGCTCGTGCTTAATAAAACTCGTAACTAAAATGGCGTTTATAAAACAAGATACATAATATACTATTATATGGAATATTTTACAAGAAAGGCACTTTATTTTAAGGATTATATGACATTCGACAACTGTCAACTAACTTAAAATTAACTTCAGCCCGTGACTAAAACCTGTTGCTAACTTTAGCCTGTGACTAAAACGCCAAAAAACCACAACTTGTCAATGTGTTTTTAAAAGGTCGTTTGGTGTCATGGAAACATATATGATAAAGGGCGTTTAAAAGGTAGGACTAGAAAAATAGTTTTATAAAACATTTAAATCATTTAAACCCTTATAAAATCGCCGCCACTGAGCCAATTAAATTAAATTTTGTACAAGATATAGAATAATACCAGAAAAATATGGTTTTGAAATTTCAGCATTGCTTTGTTCGTTCAATGGCAGTCGCTTGCGGAAATGTAGCACTTTCCGCACTAGTTAAGTAAATAACATCCATAGCAACGGACTTTTATATCCGTTGCTACCTTTAATGACGCGTCAAATGCAGCAAATTTTAGATGACAAAACTACATGTGAAAATAATAGTCATAAGGCTGAGAAGTAAGTATTTTTGGGCTGAGCTCAAAATTTGGAAGTCGACGCGTAGCGGAAGCTTACATTTGAGCGAAGTACAAAAAGATACTTATGTTTTATCTTTAAGGCACAATTTTGTTTGCTGAACGATAAAACATAATAATAATTATTAAAAGTAGAAAGTGAGGTTAGGTATATCTGACAGTAATCGAATTTTTTGGTTGGTCCAAAGTAGGAGGTAAAAAAACTTTACTCGATTTGTAATATTTTATTATTACTACTCTCATATATCATTTTATTTGAATGCACATGAAGAAAAAATATCGATATCCCAGATAAGATATCTGATAGATCGGATCTTTGTTTCTCTTGAAGATCGGTACGCGCCAGCAAAATGATGACTTAGCTGATTCGCGGACCTCCACGAAGAGCATATTTTCCTCTATTTATTCATAAGAACAATCGTGGATTCATTGGTGCAACCATCAAAGGATCCTCTCGTCGTCGTCTCCTCGACCAGATAAAAGAATACGAAAAAGAAATGATCGCTTATCCATTCACAGTGCTCGGATCGAGATAATGCTGTTTGACATCAATAACTAATCAATTAATTATTATTTTTTCGGTACGGTGTTCCGTGACTGCGTTATATTTTTTGTGAAGCAATATGATCATGATTAATGTTTGGACATTTAAAATAAATACATGTTTTACAACAATGCATTTTTTGATATTTTAAAATCGATTAAATACGATTTAACATTCAAAGCCAATTTAACGAAACAAATCACGAGTTGTGGAACATTATTTAAAACAAATTTATCATGGGTTGAAAACAGGAATAATTTTTAATAAATGTAAAATAAATTTACGCATGCAGATTTACCGATTGAATATATTTTAATCCATAAATATTGCGGGTATATTTCTATGAAAAAATTACTATAGCATATATTTGTTGTTGTGACGATATATTTAAATGTAAAATGGTAAAAGTTGTATTGTAAGTTTTCGGTATAAATTTACTTTGTTCCTTGAATTTTCTCAATGCAACGACCATTCATGAATATTCAATTCCTCAAGTGGATAGTCTTCTTGCTCTTCTTGTAGCAGAGT